CACACACACACACAAAGTTGTCAACTGGCCTGCGTGACCTGCATGCATTGCGATATGCATCATTTCCCTTTTGCGATGTAACCAAATTTCGGGTACTGTTTTGAAATTGCGACTTCTTCCCTGCTTTTATCTCTGCTGTTGACAAATTTTTTTGTGCAGAATTTGAGAATAATTGCTGTTGTAGTTCAAGTATTTCTGTGGACACCCACACATACATCCATTTTACTTTCTCGAAATTTACAGAGAAAATTCTGGACAATATAGAGAGAAAATATGAAGAGAGAAAATTCTGTAATGCTGTAAAACAAGTTACCTTGTTTCTTTTTTATGAAAAAGTTATCTTGGACCCTGACATAAAAAAGTCTTTCTCTGGTTCTTCACGAGTTAAAGAAATATCAACGTTCAGTACCTCTTCTTTTTCCTTATCAGTTTAATAACCGATATGTCCTCAGAGGGTGATTCACTCTTCTGATTTTCATATGAGTTTTGGAAATTAGGGAGATAATTTGCGGTCTCCTCCCTCCCCAGGGGTTGTCTCGTCACAGTAATGTACACAAATCAACAAAACAATTAATAGAATGATGTCAAATGTCTGATTACTTCTCAACTGTGAACTTTTGAGATTGCTCTACCCTCTAATGAAGCTATATCGTAATGACTATTATTATGCAACGTGCTGCAGGGATCTAATACGAGAATTATTCAGTTAGAGTAGAATAAACATGTTGGAACTTCAGATGAAACTTTATACCTCAGTTTTGAAACATTTTAGAAACATAGTAGCTCCGAATATTGGTTTTTATTTACTTAAGTGCCTGAGATATCCTGAACTCAGATCGTAATAAATTCAAAGAATTGATTTTTTATAATATAATCTCCTTTGATACCTTTGCAGAATAGGGTATTTAATTGTTTAAAAATAATGATGTGCCTCCTTCAACATTTGTCAGTGTAGATCTTGGATGTTATGTGCATATAAAACTAATTTACTTCAGGATTAATTCATAATGTCAAATTTCACCTAGAAAAACTTAAATCCATATGTATTATTTGCAGATCCAGTGTGGGTGACGGTTTCTTTGGCAATGATTGGAAAGTTCGGGATAGCAGCATCATTTGCTGTATTTTATGTATTTGTCGGAGAGTTATTGCCAACGGTCATAAGAAGTCAGGCAATGGGAATTGCTTCATTCATTGCTGGCATAGGGTTGTTGGGATTTCCTTACATAGTGTACTTGGTAAGATATCATTTGAACAAGGCAATTTTTAAACCAGTTAAAACTCACCTAAATATTTTGTAAACCAGTTCAAATCTGAATTTTTCTGAATTGAAATTGTAAAAGGATAAAAAAACTTTTGTTGTTGATTGCTCATTTTGGTTAAATTTCATAAGAAAACATCTTGTTTTTACCATAACTTGTGCCTTAAGATAGTGTAACTATTGACAAAGTTACCTCATGAATTTGTACAAATTTCTTACCATGTTTGGTTATTAATATATATTTATGTATTTATTTAGGCTGTATATAACAGGGTACTTCCCCTTATAATTATGGGTACATTGTCAGTAGCTGGTGCTATTGCCTCTATATTTTTACCTGAAACACTAAATATTCACTTACCTCAAACTTTAGAAGAGGGAGAAGCATTTGGAGTCGATTTCAAGTTACTGAGTTGTCCTACAAGGCAAAGGTATAATGACATATCTAAGATTATGAAATATTAACTTTGTTGAAATTAAATCCTTCATATATATATTTAAATTATATTCCTTAGATCTCGACAACATTCTGCAGTGGATTATATTCCTGCACATAAAATGGCAAACGGCATGATAGACACAGCTGAAAGTGAAAGTTCAGAATCTCATCAAGATTTGCCTAATCCTAGGTTTGTATAAACCATGAAAGAACTATGTGAAGCAAAATAGACACATTTTGTGAACTTGCGTGTGCCTTCTAGAAAACTTGTAAAAAAGTGTACAAACTGCATCAGTGAGTGAAAGCTTGAAGACTTGTGACATATTTTTAAATAAAAACAGTGCAAAATATTATAACTTAATTTATTTTAATTAATTACAATAAAGTATTTTACAATAGTTGTGTTAGGATAACAAGGAAAGTATCGGGACACACACGTTACCATTGAATTTAACAAACATACATAAATTGTTCTTATGTGCATTTATCAGTCTTTAAAATTGCACAAATTGACTCAACTAACATTAAATAACTATTCTAAAGAAGTAGAAACAGCATGCTAAAATGACTGAGTAACAAGAGTTTTAATATTCTTGCAAAATGATGTGAATAATATGTAGTAGTCATTGATGATTATGTTATTCTAATAATTCAAAGTTTCGATCTTCTCTCATTGACATGATAATATTCTTCTGAGGGTTTTAAAAGAAACCTATAGAAATAAAATATATTCAAAGAGTATTGAAAATACGTTCAGTCCAAATAATGAAATTGGAAAGATACAAATAATGCAATAAAATTTTGTATGAAAAAATTATTTTCTTTTCTTCATTGGCATCATTTAACGATTTTCATCCGTTGGAGTACCTGGTAAATTGTCTAGTGATACCAATGAAACACTTCTCTGAAACAAAAAGAAAAGAATGAGCTTTTTAACTGCTTTGGTGTCCTGTTCTAATTATTTGACTGGAAATGTAAATATGTGAATGTAAATAAATTACTTGGTGAATTCTTAGATGTGTTCTTAATTTTGTTACTTTTACATGTGCTATTATTTATATTGTTACAAACAATACATTGTTAAAAATGATACATTTTGTCCAAGGACATCCAAAAGGTGTAGCCACAGTGGCTCAATTACAGTATTACTCAGATATTTGCCCCAGGTGTTTTTAAGGGAACATATTATGGCAAAAGTATGGCAAGTGGCAAATATTGAAAATAATCGAGATCCACTGAAGTAAATATGTGGTAGGGGATTTAGACATTAGAACATGAGACACACACACATTCTGGATCACGTAATACTAGAAAAAACTGTTCAGATAAAAACATCATTATCTTTAATTACTTATTGTGTTTAAAGATATTTATGAATTTTTAGTGTTAGTCTCCTACCTTACTTCTGTCTTTTTTTTTTCTTTTGGTTATTGATCTTGATGCATGTTGTTCATTATCTAGTAAACCAGAATCTGCATGTCCTTCTGTATTCTTCAATTTCTTGGTTGATTTAGAATTGTAACTTGTCTGAAGAGTGTTGTTTTGATCATCATATCTGTTGCAAATTAATTACATTTCTAAATGCACAAAACCAACATCTAAGCACACACAAACCAACCAAAAACAGACATACCAACTAAAAACAGACATTATAACAGCTTTTTAAAAAATTTAGACTATATGAATCAGTTCAGAAATATGAACATCTCTCAGCACATTGTATTAAAAATCATTATAGTATCCTTTAAAATACCAACCTACTACTTCTTTTAAATAATAATTTGAAGTTTGTCTGGCAACAATTCATAACTGAGACTTGAATAATTTCCTCGGTCACATTACGTATTGTCTCGTAGATTGCTTGTTACAATAATATTAACAGATTCACTTGATCTCAGTTTTTAACCAGTTATTCTGAGCCACTGAGCAAATGCTGCAATGGCTGTTTGTTTGGTTCTGGACATAAATTGTAACTTCATGATCCAAACGTTTTGTTGAGATCTACTTTTGCTACTTTGGTAATAGGAGTATCCGTTATAAATAGTAATTAGGAGTAGTAAGAAATTTGGTAATTAGGAGTAGAGCTGGAAGTGTGAGTTACTACAGCAATACTAAAACAAATATGTATTTTATATATCACACATGTACAAGGAGCTTTATAAACTTTGCTAATATTATTAGGGTTGGAGCTTTATAAACTTTGCTAATATTATTGGTGTTGCACCTAAATCATGCATAGGTTTTTTTCAAAAATGAAGATACCCCTGCCCATTTGACCTGAGTCGAAGCTCTGCAAGTTTGAAAACCATTGATTAGTTTTGGGGGTACTTTACGTGAAACCTTTGAGGCATTTTCACAATTTTCTGAAAAATGGCTCCAAAGTTTTTCTTTAAATTTCTTATAAGAATAGAGTAAAATGTTCTTATAAATGTGATGTAGGTCTGATTTTCATGGTTAACTCTCAATTTTCGAAAATTTCCAGTTTGACTTTTTTTAGGGTCTTCCTACAACTATAAAATTAAAGATAGAGATTTTCCTTCAAATAAAATTTGTTGTCCATAATTTGTTCTTTTATTAAGGTCATGTAATTTTTTTTTCAAATTTTTCTAGTTGTTACTTTGTGCAATTTAAAAAAAAAAATACAAAAACCAGATTTTCTCAAAAACGGGTCCAATTTGTTTCTTAAAACTTTGGAGATTGTCCTAACTGCACTCACGTACAAAATTACAAAAATACAAACATTCCACGTTTTCTCGTAAAGCAAACAAAGTACGGTATATATTTCTATGGTTTCTTTCTTTAGCCCATCTCGAAGTTTTCTTAGTTGGTCTCTTATTATTTAGCACTGATGATATAAGTACCTACCAATAATACACATAAAATACATGCTGATATAAAAATCCAATATTAAATGGTTCTTTCAACACACCTTCTTAGAGGTATAATATTTAACTGTGTTCCAAGGCCAGTTAGCATGCCAAATCCCATCATAGTGCTGACAGTTCCTGTAGTGGGGTAGCCACATCGATACTGCGCGAGTGAAGCTTCTGTTCCATCAATGGATTCTTCGTACTCGAACTTCCGGTATGTTGGAATTTTACTTTGTGCGCTGGCCTGAAAGACAAATGATCATTAGAATCTTAATAAAAGAATTGTACATAAAGCTGTTTAATACATGTGTCAGCTCTAATTCGAATTGATAAACACATTTGTCACCTGCAAATATTACATTCCAGCTTAGTGTGCTGCCACCGGAAGATATTTTCGAGTAAATTTTACATTTTCGCAGTCTTGTCTACTTACGTACAGAAGAGAAAGTATTGTAATGCTGCCACAAAAATTGGCGATTTTGGACACAAATACTCTTACTATAGGGTCATGGTATAAAAATGGATAAACCTTGTTCCTGTATGTGGTAAACTACTTTAACACATTGTGTGGTCATCGTTTAAGCATTGTGAATCCTTGAGACGGCAAAATTGGTTTACGGCAAAATGTGTGTCTGTCTGGTTGTGGTCTAGCGCCTGAACCATTACGACTACTTTCTTCAAAATAATATTCCCTGACATGACTGAAAAAACTCGAGGACTTTGGTTTGAAACATATTTTGGTTTAATTTTTTTATTAAACTTTTTCCTCCCATCAAGCAAAGAACGCTTTACATTGCAAAACTCAATTTCGGGGAAAATCCTTGAATTTTTTAAAATTGCGATACTTTGCGATACTTTTATTACAGTCTTCCTGCTATTTCACTATTGAAGATTGAGTTTCCTTCCTTAATGAAATCTGTTGATTGGAGTCATACTGAAATATGGTCAAGTACCAATTTTCGAAATACAGGTAGTTTTCGTATTATTTTGCATTAAATAAGGCAATATTTAAATAATTATTTTCTCAAAAATGGCTTCAAATTTTGCTTTTAATCTTTTCATTGTATATATCAAAGAACGGTAAAAATGTTGGTACTGATACCATTTTTGGCAAACACTGTAATTACGAAATTTTAAAAAAAAATAGTACAATTTGATGACACAATTGGGTTCGGTATGATTAATAGCAATTGAAGACGCATAATTATAATTATAATTCATATTGATAACAAATAATCAATTTGCATCGTATGTATGAAACATATTTTAACGCAATTGAGCTATGGTTTTGTTTGGAAACGATTTTACTTCAGCTCCGATAATAAAGTTACTGAAATAATTGCAAACTGGCGTTCTCAAATTGAAATACTAAATCCTTATTAAAACCCGTAGATTCACCCGTAAATTGGGTACATCCGTTTCCTTTCATCTCATGAATATAATTCAAAAGCTCCAGCCGCTGTATAAAACGGGTAATTTCTAGTGATATAACATTTTCTAATCTTTAAGAAATATGAATAGGTAAATATGATAGATAAATTATATTAAACCATATATGACCATAATTATGTTTCATTTCGGATTTGACTGCAATCCATTTGATATCATTAATATTATCCAATAACCTACATAAAATCGTTTTTTACTCATTCTTTTTTTTTGTGATGAAATATTTAGCGATGCGAAAACGCATCACCGGCACATGCTGTGCCAAAATGTCTAACAATACGACGGACGGACGTATGAAATGTCCGTAATCAATGATGACGGACATTAACAATATTGGAAATTTATTTATTTGCGAAAATGAAATTCTTTGCAGCATTTATCATGCAAAGCAATATTACATTTTTGAAACAATTGGTTGTCTGGGATTTGGAATGAGCACATCTCGTTCTCTGAAATTGTGTAGTTGTCATATAATTTTTAATCAAAACGAACGTTTGATGAAAGCTGCAGCTGACAGGTCACTGTTAGTCCATATCTAGTCTTTAGTATGACATACTTCAAGTAATTCACTGCAATACTCTCCGAAACGACAATAAATCCATCTCTTCCTTGAGTGGCTGTGTAAATAAGCCAAGAATTTTGCACGGAGACATCCAATTCCCACAAGAACAAGGCCTTTCGCCGACATCACCAGTTTTTGGAACGAATATTTGCTCGATATGTGAGAACGTTCTTGTACATTTTATCTGTTCCACACATGTTTACATTATGCTTAGTGATAACTTCAGGTTGAAAAGTTGTTACTTTCTTTTTCTGAGAGTTCGAATACCTTTGCACATTACTCAGTGGTATCACAGAGTCGGTTGTCATTCCAGTGACATACGAGTAATTTACTATTTTCATCATACTGCATGTCATAGGAATCTCTGTGTTCTTTTCATTTCTTTCAAATTTGACAATGGGCACTTCTGAATTCTATCATTGCGCACAGTTCCTATAAATGCTATTCCTATATCAGTAAATATGTCAACAACATTCAAAGTTGTGAAATAATTGTCACTGAAAAAGTGATGAGGCAAGAGATTTTCATCTTTGTCTCTGGACAATGATTCAATGAATTTTAGTAACATTCCTCCGCCCAAACCAAACCCTTCTTTGTACTTGTTTTGTGGCTCCTTAGCACCTTCGTATACATCAAACTTTACTAAATATCCCAACCAAAGATTACGACACCAAACTTTGTAACCAAATCCTATTGGTTTCCCACGTATAAATTGTTTGAAGTTATGCTTACCAAAGTAAGAATCGTGCATTCATCCATATTGGGTTCCTTTTCCTAAAATGTGTACTTTTGGCAACTTCCTCGAAGGCTTTCTACGAAAAGTATAATTTTAGACAACCTATCTTTCCTGTCAAGGCCCGTATTGTCATTCAGATGAATGTTCCTCATTGCTTCATCAAATCTGTTGCGACGCATTGCTTGGGTTATAGCTTCATTTCTGGCGCCATTGCTCTCTTCCCAGTACATTCTGCGTCGTTGAACTTCATTATATCGACTGACTACAAGAATTCCTATGAATGTTTTGAAATCACTAGATGAAAAGCAAAATTTATCTCTGCCTTTTTGCGCTGTGTAAACTACACTTTGCGTGATAATTTGAAGTACAAATTCAGGATGGAAAAAAATGTATTCGCGACTGTAGATATTGACACACTCTATGAACAGGGTTCTAATGTTTCACAAACATTTCATAATTAACTTACTTGTTCTGAGGTAAGTTAAAAATCAAATTTAATTTCACCTTTGTATATTTAGGCCTCTAGAACGTAAAAAGTAATGGAATATTTGCGTGAGAGAATATTGGTATTCGGATGACTAACGTAAAAATGGCAGTTTTGCTATTCTATGTGCCCAGTGGTGCAAAAAAGCAACACGTATGTTCATTTGTATGTTATACAAATATATTTTATGCAAAAGTAATGTTTGAATAGAAGTATTCTTGGACTATTCCTAGTGTAATATGTTACAAAATATTCAACACTAAATTATAATAATTCAAACAAATTACCTTTCTTTGCAATGGTGCGCATACATTTTTCTGTTACAAAAAAAACTAGTTTACTTTCCTCTCATTGTCTCCTGAGATTTGTGATTAAGTTCGCGGGGTCTCTTTGAACTGTGGGCTTCTGGCGGGTTGTTTTTTAGGGTGTTTGACTCCTCTCCCCCGTACGGGGATGGGAATCGGAGTCTGGGTTGTTGGTAGACGGGTTATGTTGTTCACAGAGAGAACGGTTGTTTTATTAAGTTTGTGGAAGATGGGGTGGGGAAGGGGAGAGACAGGTATGGGAGATGTTGGGTTGGGATGAAAGGGAAGAAAGGAGTAAGGGGGTGGAGAAAGAAGGCAGCGGAGTTGTTGTCGACGGCCTTTACAGCTGTGTCAGACATTTGTTAGTTTGTTGTCAGTTCATTAGTCGTTTGTTTGTCTTTGTCCTCTGGCTTAGGTGACAGCAGGGGGAAGTTAGAGGATGTCTAAGGGATGCTTTTTGTGGGTGTGTCGGGGTAGGTTTCTGAGAACGTGGTGGTGAGGAAGGATTAGGTTTCGGAATAGAGGGTTGTTGATATAATTTTGGATTTGGGCTATTGCGGATTTGTGGAGGTATGTGAGGATGTGTCGTCTAGAGTTGTAGATGGTATACATGGATGGGCGGAAGAGGAAACGGATGTTGTAGTTTTCGACGCAGGTTTATTTTGTGGAATTGGTGTAGGATCAAGCGAACAAGGTGGGATGTGCATCTGTTAGGATGGGACGTATATAGGAGTTGTAGGTTTGGATTTTTCTCTTGGTGGGTATGGAGGGATTGGCGAGGATGGGGTGTATGGTATTGGTGATTCTGGTTGCTATGGCCGTAATTTTGTGGATGTATTGGGACCAAAGGAGCCTGTGGGAGAAGGTTATGCCATGGTAGGATATTTCTGGTGTTCAGGGAATAGGTTCGTTTGCAATGATTAGGGGAAGGGGGTTGGATGGATATGTTTTGTAGGAAAAGAGAATGGGGTTTGAATGGGTTTATGGTAATGGAGTTTTGGGACGCCCTGAAGTGGAAGTTGTTCAGGGATTCTTGGAGGTAGGATAAGGATCGGTTTAGGGAACCGAAGGAAGCAAGGAAGGCAAGGTCATCGGCATAAAGGAAGGTGTTGCTCCTGGTGTTAGTGGGACATCATTTATATAAATCGAAAATAGGATAGAGGATAACAGCGCTCTGTGGGGTGCCGGCTTGGCTTGGGTAGTTGGGAGAGGTTTTTGATAGGTGTCGGATGTAGGAGCAATGGTTTGTAGCAGGGTGTGGATATAATCGGGGATATAGGGTCGGATTTTCATAAAAATTGGGTGGGAGACAGTGTCGCAGACTTGGGCGAGGTCGGTGAAAATGGCAGGGATTTCTTTTCTCTTTTGGAGTGGGGTAGTTGGGGATAGGTTTAGGGTTTGGAGGGCCACGGAACGACCCTCACGGAAACCCAATTGTGTGGACGTTATGATGGGATCGAGGATAGGTGTTAGGCGGAGGAGAAGTATCTTTTCAAATATTTTACTTAGGATGGGTAATAGGATGTTAGGACAGTTAGGTGGGAGCCGATGATCCTTGCGTTGTTTGGGCAATATGGTATCATGGTAACGCGAGCGATCTTCCAGACAGTGGGGAAGTAAGACAGTCTGAGGCAGGAGTTCAGGATGAAGGCGATGATGTCTATTGCGATTTTTGTTAGGAGGGTGAGTTGGGATGGGAGGATTCCATCGGATCCGGGGGATTAACCGCGGTCTGTCGTCTCAAGTATTTGTTTCACTGCCATGTCTGTTGTTGGTCGGAGGGTAGGGGTGGGGTTCCAAAGAACACTGCCTGGGATTGGGATGGGGGAAGGAAGCGTTCGGCCAGGGATTGGGCAAAGCTATTTTTGATGGATTGGGGGTCAAAGGTTAGATTGTTTTATTAGGTTAGGATAGGGGATATAGTAGTGGGGTGGTTCCTAACAGCTATAATGACTTTGTGAATGTTATTGGGGCTTCATTTGTGAGATTGTACGTCATCGTACTTATGAGTCTCGTGGTGTTTCAGTAGGTCGTGTATTAGTGTATTATTTTCCTCTCATGTTCTCGTACAGCAACGGATGAACAGATGAAAGTTCTTGATTAGGCAGGTCTACAAACATATCTTAAACATAAAGAAACTGGACACTTTAAACTTGTATATAAAATAAAAATATGGACAAGTTTATTTGCGACGGAGTAAAATGCTGCGAAAACACATCATCGGGCATAAGCGAATTAGGATGCAAAAAGTGAGGAATTGGCATAAAATTTGGGTAAAATCAAAAGTAATTAAGGGCCACAATGCAATGTAAAACAATGAAAGGGCATACAAAAAAGAAGAGAGCTTGAAGTGTTGGTTCAAGATTGTAAGATGGAATCACCTCTATCCATCCAGATTGTGCAAGAAAATACTCATTGTGACACTCGTTAAATCGTTGATTCTCCCTCCCCCTTTCTCCCGGAGTTTTGAGCTTCTACCCTTGCAGAAAATAACCAATTCGAAAACCGACCTATTGTACTGTTTTTGCTATAATACAGGCGACATGCAGGCATCTTTTATAGATGTGAAACAAACCTGAAATTTCCTCATCCTCTCTTTCTCCTTCCGTCGCCTGTACACGACAGCAATGATCAGCAATCCTGCAACAGCACACGTGCTGGCTCCGACAGTACCTCCAACAGCGTAGGTTATTACTTTACTGTCCTCTGAAATTTTAAAAAGTTTCATTAACATCGTATTTACTGACGTTTCCGATATTATTAATTGCAATAAATCTTACCATGGGAATAAGTTTCAACAACTTGAACGTTCTGGACTGGTACATCCAGTGCCTTGTTGTCAAGGCCATGTAAATTTAATTTGCCAGAACCTATTATCTGTCTGATGACGGGTATTATTTTTTCAGCACTCATTTCCTCTGTATCCACTAATGTCATTTTCACTATAATACTGCCTACATAACAGGTGGAATAGAGCAAAGTATTTTTAATTAAAACTGCAATATGTACATACCACACATCAATATTCATCAGTTAGTGTGTAATACCGAAACTGAAAAATTTTTAAGATTCAAAATGTTAATATAAAACAAAATGCTAATGAAACGATGCTGTCATTTAAACTATTGAGTAAAATACCATTTCACTAGTTTATTTGTTGCTTATTATATTTTTCGTAAAAAGTACGAGTTATAATCATTTCATATTATCTCATACACACACTTAAAGCAGCATTACCAGGAGAAATTCGTATTTCTTTAATCATCTTGACGGGCATTTTCTTAAATTTGTTAATTTCGTTAAGTATTTGATTTTGCAATGTTGCTTTAAATGATTCTTCTTGTTTTCCAACAGTTTCTTCGTAATCCTCTTTAATACTGTTAGAAGAAAGATTAAAAATATAAAATTGAATGATGTGTTTTACAATAAGTATGTAGTAATCAATGTTATGTACTATTTAACACATATTAAAACTACTTTATTCAGAAAATATGTCGAACATGTTATAAAATCATTCATGATTCAACCACTTATTTTAACACATTAGATAAAATATTTAGTTATTAGTACCTGAATGATACGTTATAACGTGGTTCAGATGTGGGAGTTCCTTCAGGTATATTTGATTGAAGAGGAGCAATTATTAAAGGTTTTTTTGTAGACGTCGGTTTTAATGAAGTGGTAGGAAGGGTTGATGGAGTAGTAGTGGTTGTAATTGTAGTAGTAGAAGCAAGTGTGGTAGTGGTTGGGATTGTAGACGGTATTGTAGTAGTAGGAGCTGTTGAAGATGTAGAAGCTGTCGTTGTCTCTGTAGTTGTAGTAGTAGTTGGAGCTGTAGTTGTAATAGTGGTTGGAGTTGTAGTAGTTGTTGGAGATGTGGTAGTTGGTGTAGTAGTGGTAATTAATTCCTCTTCTGTTACCCTGAAACACCACAATAAATTAACAATACAAAATTTTCATGCTTGAAGCATTCAAATTACACATCCATTAACCACGTTCAATATTTAAGTAACACTTTCATCAATCAAGAAAGTACCTGTAATAAGTGTGAGCAGTACAATCACAATCCACCAGTGCTTTTTGTTCAAATAGGTCAAGTGTAGTACATAATTCGGTTTTCCATCCATCACGCCATGCTGCACACTTAAACAACAAAACATTTTATTGGAAGATAATTTGTAAATACGTATTACACGTATAAGATGATTCCTTCTTAAAGTTGTTCACGAATTACTCAATGGTACTCTCGGCCACCTTATATGAGGAAATCTAGAACGGGATATTTCAGTTGAAGTTTTAGCTACGGATGAAATGTATTAAAAGAAACATTTCAATGCCAAGGGCATATTTATTTATATTTATTAGTTTATTTGTAATGTTTTCTGTAACATTCGTCACATTTTCCTACACCATTTTCTGTACACTACGTTTAGTCCAGTTGACAGGTACTGAAAAAGGAGGGTTACCTGGAAAATTATCATAAAAACGTTTTCTTTAATTATGTTGTATGTATCCAGGCACTTGTTAAGCTCCTACGTTTTTGATCTTGTGGACTCTGTGCTAACTCTGTCCATCTGTCTGTCAGTCCGTCTGTCTGTCTGTCAGTCCGTCTGTCTGTCTGTCTGTCTGTC